CAGCCCCCTAGCTCCCTGCACAGGAGGATTTCCGGGCGAGCGGGTCAGTACTCGCTGTCCCACTGCAAGGATCAGTTCTCCGCAGCACAGCGGACCCTGTACTGTACTGTACAATGGCACGTTGCTAGAACAATGCAATAGGCAGTGTCAGGACACACCTCGCTGAAGCTGAGCAACAACCCAAGCCAAACAGGTCTGAATCGAGGCTGCTCGCATTCCAACCGCCCACTCTGCCACTTAATGAGTAACTCTGGGTCCCTGGCCTCCCGGCACGCCTCGCCTCGGCCTGCCCATCATGCTGAGCTAGAGCTGCTTGAAACCCGGGCTTTCCGTCACGCAAGGAAAACTCTGCCATTTTAAAACCTGATTTTGATCCCCTCATCGGGATGAAAAGTTGAAAGCTCAGAATCGTCGGGTAAGGAAAGATTCCAGAAATGCTACAGCACTGGGCTGGGACTCAGGAGATGCGGGTTCTATTCCCGAACTTGGGCTAGTCACCTCACCGCCCTGTGCCTCAGTTTCCCCATCAGCAAAATGGGGGTAATGCCCCTCTGTAAAGCCCTCTGAGATCTACTGATGAGTTGCGCCGTAGAGAAGCTAAGTATTGTAAAGTCAAAAGGCTTTCTTTCAACAGTGATATTAATTAATTATATTCCAATAATAATATTATTGAGTCAAAACAATAAAGGTGAAACAAGACGTGTAGATAATGTTTTCATTTTGCCAAATCAGCATTTTCCCTTTGGGAAACTGCTCTTCTGGGACATCTTTGCCCAGTTGTAGTGTAACACTGACAGACCCCGGTCGTCGGCAGGCGGGATCGAACCTGGGGCCTCTGGAGCTTAGTGCGTGAGCCTCTACTGCATGAGCAAAAAGCTAACTGGCTCTTAGCTAAGGCTCTAGAGCAGACTCATTAATCTCTCTCTCTGTGGTCTCAGAGCCACTAGATGGGTCAGAGCACCCCACCCACGAGGCATGTGGGTTACACTAGCGCTCGCCGGGAATTCAAGGCCAACGCTAGGTGCAGAAGCCCAATAGCTCCGTCGTTTCTTCGGTGGCCCGGAGGGAGCCGTTCTGAAGCCCCGTCCACTTCCTTTCCCAGCTTGCTGCCATGGTCGTATAACGGGTCAGTGGCAAAACCGGGACTAGAAGCCTAGATGCTGTACTTTCCTTCCATGGCTTTAACCCAAGATCTGCCCCTGTAGGGAAATGGACCAGTGAGCCCACATGCCCTCTTAATAAATCCCTCCCCCTCGCAGTAAGTGTTAGGGTGGTGGATGTGTGGCATCTGGGCTAGCTGGTATGCACACCGCCCCGTCCCAGGGGACAGAATCTTATGCCTCACCTTCTGAACAGAATCTGGCACAGATTTTCCTTTAGCCCAGGGAGCCGATAGCTCGGTGCCCCCAGCCCCACGCCCATGCCAGCTCGCAGCAATGAAATCTTGTGTTGCCACAGCATCATTATGTTGTGAAGGGAGGCAGATGCCCATCCACAGCCAGGAGCTACTGGGAGCGCGGAATGCACCATCCCCATCACCTGGAAAGAGAAAGGGAACTCTCTTCCGTGGAGCATTTTGATCATTTGAAATTTGGTTTGATTCCGATTCGGAATGACCTCCCCACCCCCACCCCAATATTTCAGAATGCTCCATGAAAGCCCTGGGGACCCCAGCTCTAGGGATGTGCAAGCGGCCGGCTGCTTCAGGGATGTGGCTCCTGGAAGCGCCCTGTGGTCCTTGGCTCCAGGCCAGCGCAGCTGGGCTGCGGACCCTGGAAGTCTGGATCCCACAGCAGATTGCCAGGCAGCTGCCAAGGAGCAGGGCGGGCAAGTCAGGTTTTGAAAGCTGCCAGGCTGCATCAGAAGCCTGCCTGCTTTCTGTGAGGAACGTCATCAAAATCGAACCATCTCCGCGGGACGTTCCCTTTAGCCAAATCGGTGAATTCGGAGGAAAACCGGTTTTGTTGGGACTTTTCCAACCTGCTCCAGTTCTTTGTATCACACCTGAGATCAGGGCGCCGTTGTGCTAGGGGGCTGTACACAATTCCTGCTGCTCCTCCCCAGCTTCATGACCAAAGTGCCCTCTTTAGAATAAGAGCAATGAGTTTATTTGCATCTCATCGAGATAAACGCAGTAGATGGCTTGTGTCATCTCTCTTTCCTGACTATAAAGATAAAGAACAGGCTAGAATTTGCCTCTGTGTATATCAGCCATAGCTGGATGAGTTTACTGGTGTGAGAGAAAACATTTCAGCCAGATAAGGGCAGTGCAAACTCTGGCTTTCGCTCACCTCCCTCCCTCTTAGCAGGTGCTGGCCTTAGTTAACCCCTGAAATGCTAGTGTGATCGACTGCCACTCTCACTAATGCCCAGACGGATTGATTTATGCTTGGCCAAGCCCTCAGGGAATCTTTTGCTCACAACAGACAGCAAAACGTTCACACCTGGGAGCGTAAGGTGATGGTATCTAAACAGAAGAGGCTTGATTCCCCAGCAGTGCTGAACTCCCCGGGGTCTCATTAACCCTTTGAAGCCAGGGGAGGCTAAGAGCACACAGTAGCTCTAAAAAACCAGGCGAGTCTTACTCAGTAATAATACCCAGCTCTTCTAATGGTGCTTTTCACCAAGAGATCTCAAAGCACTTTACAAAGGAGGGCAGTATCATGAGCCTCATTTTACAGATGGGGAAATTGAGGCGCAGGGTGGTGAAGGGACTTGCCCAACTTCACGCAGCAGGCCAGTGGCCAAGCCAGGAATAGAACCCAGATCTCCTGGTTCCCAGTCCGGTGCTCTCTCCCCTAAATAAACATAAATAGCTCTTGCGATAGCCATGGCTTAGAGAGGGTTAAGAGCAAAGTCCCTGCCAGCAGGAGCCAGGTGCTCTTCAAGGCGTGGTCAGCTACACACAAAGCGAGGCGCTTAGATGCCGGGGTTTAGTAGGGGTTAGCCAAGCAAACCACCCCTCCTCCAGGATAGCTGCAGCCCACGGACTCCCCCCCCCCACCCCCAGTGTCCAGCTCTGGTCTCTATTGGCTGCCTATTGTCTAGTGGTCATGTCCATCTAGTGGCATTTAAATCCCAGGCTGCATGAGACCCGGACTGGGCTCTTGGGTGGCGACCAGTGGAACCCGAGCTCAGATCAGCTGCCTGGCCATCTCCCAAGCCGCCAGGTGCCCTGTTTTCGGCCCGCATGCAGGGAAGGAGCTGGGGTGAAGGGTGCATTGGCAGTCTGATCCTTGGCGCCCCTACAGCATTTGGCTTCAACCCAGTATTTCAGTGGCTGGGCCAAGCGTGTTCCAGCCCCCAACTGTTTATACAATCCCCTCCCTCCATCTCCCAGCTGGCCGTAGGTGCCAGAAGTGGATGGGCACTGAGGTTTCCACTGCTGCCTTAACCAAAACAGCCCAAGGGAGGGAATTTGCAAGGCAAAACAGGCCATTGCTTTGTGGGGAACCTGCAGGCAGCCTCGTGCCCCTGCCCTGCGTCGGTGGCAGAGGCTGTTGTGAAAGCAGGGCTTGCCTGCCGGCCTCTTTGCTTTTAAACTCGGGTGAGGCCAGAGAGAATTGAACCGTGCGGCCGGAGTGAAGGCATTAAACCGCATCTGGGAAGCCCGAGCTCTCGCCCTCCCCTTGAAGGTCCTTCGCGCCCCTAGCAATTTGATCTGCCCCTCTGATCTGCCAGTGCCCCCCGGCCTGCCCTCTGCTTCCCACAGCACCATCACACTTTCACCCCTGCTTCCACGGACCCATGGCATACCAGCCTGTCCTTCCAGCTCCCACAGCAGCTGTGATCATAGAATCATAGAATAGCAGGGTTGGAAGGGACCTCAGGAGGTCGTCTACTCCAACCCCCTGCTCAAAGCAGGACCGATCCTCAACGAAACCAACCCAGCCAGGGCTTTGTCAAGCCTGACCTTAAAAACTTCTAAGGAAGGAGATTCCACCACCTCCCTAGGTAACGCATTCCAGTGTTTCACCACCCTCCTAGTGAAATAGTGTTTCCTAATATCCAACCTCAACCTCTCCCCTGCAACTTGAGACCATTACTCCTTGTTCAGTCATCTGCCACCACTGAGAACAGTCTAGATCCAGCCTCTTTGGAACCCCCTTTCAGGTAGTTGAAAGCAGCTATCAAATCCCCCCTCATTCTTCTCTTCTGCAGGCTAAACAATCCCAGTTCCCTCAGCCTCTCCTCATAAATCACGTGCTCCAGCCCCCTAATCGTTTTTGTTGCCCTCCGCTGGACGCTTTCCAATTTTTCCACATCCTTCTTGTAGTGTGGGGCCCAAAACTGGACACAGTACTCCAGATGAGGCCTCACCATCTTCTTGGGTTGTGAGTCTCTTGCTTTACTGGGGTGGGGGGCGGTTGCCTCTGCCACCTCCCTTTTCCCCACACACCACCCCTTCCCGAGGGCCTGCGATGGAGTGTATTGCCGCTCATCAGAGGAGCATGAGTCTGACTTTGCACGGTCTCTGCCCAGCTGGTCTGCAGCCACCTGTCCCCTGTTTGTCCAGGACACACCCCTTTGCCTCGCTGCATGGCTAATTGAAAGACAGCCCCTGACTGGAGCTTAGGACGGGCTAGTACAATGCCTAGCACAACAGGGCGCCTGTAGGGGCTAATAGCAGTAGTAGTCGGGCCTGGCTTATTGGTTTCCCCCGGGCTCCTACAGACGCACAGGAGAGTAGACAGCTGGCATGCAAACAGGAAGGATGGCCAAGTCACTCGGACATTTGCCTAAGCCTTAGGCGGTGGGAGGTGGGAGCCCCTGCTCTGCCACAGTTTTCCTCCATGAGGAAAACTCACTTGATGGCTCCATGCCATCTCCTCCTTAGGCAACTCACTTGATGGCTCCATGCCTCAGTTTCCCCAGCTGTTCAAGGGAGATAAGAGGGAAGAGAAATACAGTAAAGATTGGGAAGTGCACAGATACCATGGTGATAGGCCCAGCAAAGTACCGAGACTGGAGAGTTGATGCAGCACGACAGTAGTCCGCGCTCAAGTCCTTGGTTCAAAGAGTTTATTGGAACATCTTGTGCACAAACCTTCATTCCACATTCAGAAAATAATTTACACTTGAGATTATAAATTAATTGGGGGAGGGGGGAGTTCTTCACAGTGTAAAAATATACAGGACAGACTCAGTCTGCCAGGGCTCCCCGGCAAGCTCCCGGAATGGCATTGTGCCATCTAACCCAGCCCCAGGCCTTCAAGCGGGAGGGTGTGGAAGCTGACGAGATGAGGGTGGCCCGGGAGAGAGTTGAAGGGAGAGAGACAAGGAAAAAGTCAAGGCCAGAGCAGCCTGAGGCCCTTTCCCTCTGGCCTACACGCTTAAAGCAAGAAGGAAGTGATGGCCCGTCTTAGCTTGGCTGGATGTTCTCTCCCACCCCATGAGGTCAAAGCCTTCTCCACTAATCTAGACTCTTCTGCCAGTTAGCAGTAGCTTCATCATAGTCACTGGAAGACTCTTGGTTCACACCAGCTGATCACGGGTTAGAATCTAGTTCTGTGTACTAGAGACTGGGCCAAAGGGTCTCGTGAACAAGGAGGGCTGGGAAGACTAGCACGAGCAGCAGTCTGGGGTGGTCATCTCCTAGCAAGATCACCCCACAGCTAGCTAGGATCACATAGGCCACGGAGGGGACAGAGCAGCATCTGTAGCCCCTTCAGTCTTTGGCACAATAGCTCCGGGGTGAAACAGAAGCTCTTTCCACTTCGGAAGTGTTTGTATGTACACGTTATCGATACGTCACGCTAGCTAATATATATATATATAGAGAGAGATATATACACACACAAACACACACTCTACGGCTGTCAGCTCAGGAGATCATTTAGAAACTAATCACAGTGCATAGGACAGAGAGTGTGTTGGGCCCAAGAAATGTTTGATTCTCAAAATAGAAAATGAGGCAAGAATGTATCGTTCGTCCTCTTCCGCCCAGGGGAAAAGGACTCGCTGCCTTCTTCAGGCCTCACTTCTTATCCAGCTGGCAGTACAGGTACATGGACACCACCATGGCTGCAATCTAAAGAGAGGTAAGTAGGTTTAATATCTCCTGCTGCCCAGGGAGGCCTTTTCTTCTTTCTCCACGTTGGCTAGATGCATCCTCTACATCATGCAACTGTAACCCACGGGTCAGCGTGTCTTGTGCCCCAGTCTATAGAGGATACGGGTCTGTTGTGGCTCTCCGATAGCCAGCCTGGCCCTTTAACTCAAGCTTTTGTATCTAGAGGTCCCGGGTTCGATCTGTGGGAACAGCCAAGATGGCGCGGCTCTGCCACTCAGCCGCCATCGTCCTCCCTCTCCTGTTGCTTCCCCCACACGAACGCCGGGGTCGGTTTGGGAAGCGGGCCCGGAGGGTCAAGGCCGGGCGCAGGCTGAGGGTCAAGACTAGATGTCAGGCTGCCTCGGTGGTTCCCATCCGCCCCGGCTGAGTGGCTCCCACTGCAGTGGGCGAGCGCCCTTGTGCCATGTCCTCAAGTAGGTGTTGCCACCTTTATTTCTGTCCCTTCTATCCCCTGGCCTCCCCGCCTCCTCTTGTTTTGTGGCTCCCCATCCCTGATCCCCACTCAAGCGCCAGGCTCCGGGGGCCCGGGCAGGGGTTGGAGCCATTGGTGGTCACAGCTGCTCGGACAGCGTGGCTGGGCTGGGTACCCCAGGAGCAGAGGAAATGAGCCTGAGCCTGCAGCCCGGGAGGAGGAGAGCTCAGAGGTGGTCAGTGGGCACCCTCGCAGTTCAGGAGCGACTCTACCCTCTCCCCTGCTGGGCGGGCCCTTTGTCTGGGGCAGTGGAGGGGAGGCAGTGGGACGGCAGCTGTGTAGACCTACGTCCCCGCCCAGTTTCTGCAGCCAGGAGCCAGCTGGGGGACTTACCTCTAACACACAGATCCCCACCGCCACGCCCCCCACCACACCCGCGTTCTTGCGAACGTCGCTCAGCAGCTGCTGGAAGCAACCCTAGGGGGAAATGGAAACCAGCATGGTTAGAAAGAGCCGGGGCCAAGCACGCAACGGAAGCTGGTTGGAGCAAGGCGGCTGAATGCCCGGTCAGCTGAAGGACGCAGCTAGCCCTCTAGTCCCCCTGATGCTCTATGGGTTTGCTGGCACCGAGCGACCTGCTGAGAGCTTCTGAAGGGAGTCCCAAAGTGAGCGCTGACTCTGTTGGTTGAGAAGGGCAGGAGTGCGCCTGGCTGTGCCCTGGCGGTATATACCAAGCAGGACACCCGGAGTAAACGGGCACTTCAGGGATCAGTAAGGCTCAGTTCAGCTTCCCAGCTGAGAGGAGTTGATGATTTTTGGGTGCCTAACTAGAAACACCCAGGAGGACCCCAATATTAACAGGATTCAGGAAGTCAAGCCGCTTTGAGGGGTCTTGATTTGGGCACAGCCTTCCCCCCCACACACACACACACACCCTCCCACTCCCAAATTAAAAGCACCCAGTCTTGGCCACTTCCACTAGATGTCCAGAAATGCACTGGAAGGTAATTGCAACACTGGCTCTGTTCCACAGCTGAGAATAACTCCAAGCAGAAAGGTCAGAGCTCATGCAGTGGGTTAAGTAGGATTTGTAGGTCCTACATGACTATACCGAATAGTGCTGGGTCAGCTACTTTTGTTTCACGTGAGCTATAGAGTCTAGTTACTAACACAGTCACTAAGAGGGTCAAACAGCGCTAGGTTTGAATGCCATATATTGTGTGCATGTGATGGTTTGCAAGGGGACTCGGCTTTGGAGGAGATTTGGGCCTTGTTGCTGGATCAATGTGATATGCACATTAAATACATTTGTACTCCGAGTGCATTCGTAATGGCCTGGACTGTTGCTTCTACACACAACTCCCTCCCACCCATCCCCGGTGAGGTGTTCCATGACCCTATGATTTTTTGGTCAAGTGTCTAAAGAACCTTTGTATAAAGAGAATAACTCAGGGACGATTCCTATTAGAATCTAGACAAAATCCCCTAGACCAGGCCAGAGTCATCTGCAGGGTCAGCCTTGCTCATGTATACCACCTACAGGCCTCCAAGCCTTTCACAAGACGTGTCCTCATCCCCACACTTACAGGTAGGGAAGAGACGTAGAGGGGGCAAGTGACTTGGCCACAGTTGTCGCACAAGGCAGTTGCAGAGATGGGAACAGAAGATAAGCTCAGTCCCCCAGTGCAGTACAAACCTGCTCCTCCTCTGCCTTACGCCAAACTTCTGTGATTCACAAACTAGTCCCACCTCCCTCTCCGATGGGAAGGGGACATCCCCAGACACTCCAAGAGCAGATGTCAGAGAGGGACAGTGGCCCAGTTTCCACAGCAAAACCCACGCCCTTCTGGCAGTGTGGGGTCCCGCAGCCATAAGGCAAAGCTGTTGCATCTCCATACCGGGAGTTTGCTGTTATGTGCTTCTGTCTCGTTGCACAAGGCGTTGATGGAGTTGCAGCAGAACGGTGGGTACATGTCGCCGTGTTCCTTGTAGTAGTAAGAGTCCGTGAAGTCTGTGTAGTTCATCAAGCCGCAGCATTTCACCTGGGAGGAGGAGGAAGAGGAGTGAGAGCAAGGAACAGAACGTGCCCAACACCCTCCATCATGTCCCAGCCGGAGACCTCAAAAAGCTCCGCAGCCAGATTACAAACCGCTTAATCTAGGGGGCTGTCTCTGCCCCGCAGTGGCGGATGAAGCCGTCTGGGGCGATGGGGCAGCCGCAGCCCAGTACAGCCAGGTAGGACAGGATTGGAAGCACTAAGGGATTATGCATCCAGCCGAAACTGGGAGGAAGGCAGAATGTCATTCCCCAAGTTGGAGCTGGGCCAGGATTCAGGGTCCAGCCCCGACTCTTGAGAGAAGAGCCGCGGGGCCTTTGACAACCACAACTTGTCAGAGGCCCCTGCAGCCTTGTGCGCTTTGTGCCAGTGGCCACGGCTGCCCAATGGGCGGCGCGGTGTGGTACCGCAGAGAGGAGCGAGGTGGGTTCCAGACCCTTGTACCCCATGTGCATTTGAATTTTAAAGTCTGTTGCCCCATCCCCGGAAGGCCCCCCTCAATCTCAAACCAGAGACGCCCCTGAGCTGAGCGACGGGCCCGCGCAGGCCGGCTCACCTTAGACATGGTGGTGTTCCAGATCTGCGTGACTTCAGTAACCTTCCCGTACTGATTCTTCAGTGTTGGAGTCACTGTTGTTTGTAGGATGTTCTCCGCCTAGAAGAGAGTTCAGATGCCATCACAGCGGGCATTAGACCAACGGCCTGGCACGCACACGGGGAGAGGCCAAGGCTTAAAGGGGTTCTTGGAGAATCCTGGCGTCCCTACAGGCCAGCGTCCAGGTACGCCGGCAACCCGCTCTATGTGGGAGGGGAGCTGCCATGGCTATGCCAGGCAGGGTGGGCAAGCAGGGGGAGTTTGTTGTGCTGGCCCTTTTCTCCAGCAACGGGCTCGCTGTGTGGCAGGCTGAAGAGTTCCCCGGTTACGTAAGACGCGTGAGGTCCGGAAGTGAGAACAGGAACGACCGTCCCCAAGCGGGTGAGAACAGACACCACCCGGGCCTGTGGCATGGGACGTTCCTGCCCGCAGCTCAGGATTGCTGCCACGGAGAGTGGGCCGGAGCTGTCATCTGCTTTGCCATCGCCTGCAGCGTTCGCTCTTCCGCCTCCGTTTCCCTTCCCAGGACTCACGCTGCAGTGTGCATACTATTGATGCTGCAGGGGATGGGGGGGGGGGGGGTTGAATAGACTAAATCCACCTCCCCCCAACACCGGGCAGCCTCGCCCCCCCCCACCCACACAGGGCTGCGTTGCACCAGGCCTTGCAACTGGGTGCCAGGCTGTTTTCCGTGCAGGACGGAGGAATTAATTGCCGAGAGGGACTAGCCCTAGGGATAGGGCCTTCCCGCCCAGGGCGTGTTTCCCTCCTGCCCCACGGACACCGTGAGTGAGGCCAGACCCTCAGCACCCACTGTTACGCCTGCTCCTCCGAGGAGCGGTTCGTGAACGGTAACCACCCCTCAGGGAGGACCGATCTCCGCTCCTCCGGCATCCCCCTTAGCACAAGGCCTAGAGCACAGTCCTTCCAGGAACGGGCCCAGGAGGCCGCCGAGCAACCTGTCCCTCCCACCCCCTCTGACTTACGAGAGACGTGTAGACCAGCGCCACCACCGCAGCAGCGATCTCGGCGATGAAGATGATCAGCACGATGGAGAAGAACTGGAGGAGACACGATCCAGAGGTCAGAGGCGGGACGGAGTCCAGGCCCATCTAGCTGGGGCGGGCCACAGCGCTGCCAGCTTCCTGTGGTGGTTAGCAGGGCTGGGTGCAGCCCCGGGGAGAAACTTGGGAGAAGCCAAGCTGGCTTCAAGCTAGTTCACAAGCAGGCGACAAAGGGGACGAGAGAGAGTTACCATGGGGATCTCCCACGACTCGGGCAAGACAGGGTTTACTATCGAGCAGGGAACCTTTCGTCCAAAGAAACAAGTCTCTTGCCGTGGAGCATGGGATTTTGAGGGGGTCACTCCCCTCCTGGGATCAAATATACCCCGTTTCAAGGCAGCAGCTGTGTCCCACCCTTGTGCAGACTGAGATCGCAAATGCAGACCCAGGCCACTGGCCTGACAGACCCCAACTCCCTACTGGAGGTACAAAGCCCACTTCTTCCACCATCCTACCCCGCGTGCAGCTGGACAAGCGGGTTAGGCTGACCGAGCGAGCGCGGCTTCCCGCCGCCCGGAGCTGGAGATTTACCATGATCAGGAGGCATTTGCTCTCTTTCTGGGCCCCACAGCATCCCAGGAAGCCGAGCACCACCAGGATGGCGCCGATGATGATGAGGAAGTAGCTGACGTTCACAAACTGCAAGGCGCTGCTGGAACCAAATATGCTGGAGAACGAGCTCCCGTCCACGGCGACCCAGATCCCCACGCCCAGGAGTGCCCCTCCGCCAAGCTAGGAGGCGAGAGAGAGGTGCGTGTTATTTCAGAGGTGGCTGGGAAAGGTCTAAGGGACATGACATTGACAGGAGCTAGAAATGCGAGACCATAGAATCATAGAATCATAGAATATAAGGGTTGGAAGGGACCCCAGAAGGTCATCTAGTCCAACCCCCTGCTCGAAGCAGGACCAATTCCCAGTTAAATCATCTTCTCCTTTCACTTCTAGTTGTGAACGTTCTGATCTCAGGGCTAAGTGCAACTTTCCTTCCCCTCCAGCTCACGGGTTACTCTGCTCTCCCCAGCACGCACTGATGACCCAGGGCTGGCCCTTTCGCGAAACAGGAGAAGGGCTCCTGGAGCAGATTAGAGGTCCCCTGATTTGGGGGATAATCTCCGGTGAGTTAGCAAGCATGCAAAGGGGTGCCATCCAGCTCCCCGAGAGCAACCACAAGCTCCCCATGAAACACGGTCAATCCCTAACAGGGCGAGGCCCTGACCACTGGTCTCTATGGAGACAGATCGTGTTGTCAGTTCACCCAAGTGCCCAGGGGCGGGGTTCACAGTAGGCAAGGAAGCCAGTGTGATTTGTTTTGGCTCAGAGGCGGGGTTGGGGGCCCTGTGTTTTGCACAAGGGAGATTCGGAGACCCCCTGATTAGGCTGGGAACAGCTGCTCGGTCACTGGCCAGGGCCGTTTCTGGCAGGGCTTTGGAGCTCTGCGCCGGATCCACTCCAACTCCAGACAAAAACCTGCAGCTCCATTGCTCTGGAGCTGCTCCGGGCTCCGCTCCAAAGCCCTGGTTTCTGGAACAGGGAGACCCAGGAAAGCTCTGACGTGGCACGCGGGTCTCGGGGAACTTCCTGATTTCTACCCCAGGGTCAGTCATTTCCTCTGATTAATGCCAGCTCTGTTCCCAGCCCTGGCGGAGGAGATTACAACCCTCTACTTTCCTGGACAGGTCTTTGTACTTCCATTCCAGCACAGGGTGGGGCAGATAAACCCCGATACAAGAATAATGCTTTGCTGGCAGGGTGGGAAGGAGAGCCAGGCCATTGCACCAGCCTCACCCACTCCACTCAGTTCCTTGCCTGGGATGGGGTCATTACACACAACACACGGTGAAGGGCCCCTCACACTGGAGGGAAAGGGCCTGAAGTCAGTGCCCGGCCCTGCAAGAGTGATCAGTACCCAAGTGTGCCATCAAAGTTTCCCCCACACACACACCCCATCAACATCTCGCCCCCTCCTCATCCTCCTACCTACCTCCCTGTCCTCATTTAAATTCCTCCCCGAGACTCCAATGACACCCTCAGATGCATTTGCCTAAAAGCCCCTCCCAAGCCATTCCTCCTCATAGACTAAGGTCAGAAGAATCATAGAATCATAGAATATCAGGGTTGGAAGGGACCTCAGGAGGTCATCTAGTCCAACCCCCTGCTCAAAGCAGGACCAATCCCCAATTTTTGCCCTAGATCCCAAATGGCCCCCTCAAGGATTGAACTCACAACCCTGGGTTTAGCAGGCCAATACTCAAACCACTGAGCTATCCCTCCCCCCAGGGACCATCACAATCATCTAGTCTGACCTCCTGCACATTGCAGGCCAAAGAACCTCACCCACCCACTCCTGTGATAGACCCTGAACCTCTGGCTGAGTTACTGACGTCCTCAAATCATGGTTTAAAAACTTCAGGTTACAGAGAATCCACTATTGACAACGGTTTAAACCTGCAGGTGACCCAGGCCCCATACTGCAGAGGAACGTGAAAACGCCCCGGGGTCTCTGCCAATCTGACCAGGGGGGAAATTCTTTCCCAACCCCAAATATGGTGATCAGTTAGACCCTGAGCATGTGGGCAAGACCCAGCAGCCAGACACCTGGGAAAGAATTCTCTGTAGTAACACAGAGCCCTCCCCATCTAGTGTCCCATCACCAGCCGTTGGAGATATTTGCTGGTAGTAGTCGCAGATCGGCGACATGCCATTGGAGGCAGCCCCATCATCCGATCCCCTCCATACACGTATCCAGCTCAGTCTTGAAGCCAGTTAGGTGTTCTACCCACCCGGCTCCCCTTGGAAGGCTGCGTTTTCCTCCCAGCGCCTTTCAGAACTGGGACCATCAGAGCAGAGACATCTCCACAAGAAGACTGCAGAGCAGGTCAGATCACCCCGGAGGAGCACAATGTCTCGGGCCGGGAGGGCAGAACCCCCGTCCCCGCTTCGGCGTCCAAGTGAACAAGTGTCCTGGAGTCTCCGGTGTTTTGCAGCTATCTTAGGACCTGACTAGCCACAGGCTTCAGCAGAGGTCGGGCCGGCCTCAGCTTCGGCGCAAGCCAGGAGGAGAGCACCCGCGCTTCCGCATTCAGAGGCACTGCCCCTGGGGATCAGACAAGCTTCCCGCTGTGAAGGTCCGTGCCGAGGGACATGGCCCTCAGCCCATCTCTGAAGGCCGCAGCAAGAGCGGTTGGGAGACGAAAGGAAGAATCACGCACGCCAAGGAGCTTTCCCGGGCTGATCATTCCAGCCACATTGGGCTAGCGGGGACCCGGGCAGCCAGCCTCCCTATTCGTGTCTCCTAGCCAAGCCCAGGGGGAGAAACACACTGAAGAGAACTATTTCCCTCTGGCTGGGAGAATGGCTTCTCCAGGGGGGACGCTGCAGGGGCCGAGCAGCTCCATCGTCCGTCCCCCCCAGAGCCACAGAGACAGCTCTGCCTTTGAACACAAGCCAGCTGAGCGAGAACAGGCGGCCTTGTCCACCGGGCAAACAAAGCCATGGCCTTTGGGGCGGAGGAAACATCACCGGGGAGTCACTCGTCACCTCCATTATAACTCCCACAACTGAGCTTTTCTCATTGGAGCCGGAGCAGAGGAGGACGGAGAAACCCTACAGCAGAGCCACCTGAGAGGAGCAGACACGTCAGCCCGCCGGGGGGAAAGAGACGGAACCATTGTTATTGCATCTCAACGCTGTCAGGGTTTTGGAGCCGCTGGCCCCGCCCGCCAGGATTTGGACTTGACGCTATTCGTGGCCAGGTGCCCCTGGGAACGTGGGGGAAAAACAGTCAGTAACTGGAAAGACAGCAGCAGATCCCAGTAGATCCTCGGGGCCAGTGGAGGGAAGAGAGAGCTACAAACCACAGCTGGCTGGAAAAAGAATGAAATTCCTTCCCACCCCACCCCTCTGCTGAAAGTGTAGACAAAACAAGAGTGGGTTTTCTGATGGCTCGCCCCCGACCCCCAGGACAGCAGACACTTCCCCTGGATTTTCAATTAAAGGGGAATTTTCCATTAAAAAAAAAAGGGTGGGGGTTGATGGAAGCTTTCTGGCCAGCCCGATAACAACGTCGCACCTGGCAAAGTGAGAGAGGCAGAGCACCTCCTGTCCGGCCCGGGAGTCCGCCCGGGAGAGGCCGGAGGGGGAAAGAAGAGAGGGCAGGGCCGTCAGCCCCGCTTTCTAATCCTCCCCAAGTATAACTCGGTGCAGTTCTAATCCAGCCAGCCTCGACTGCCACCCTTGTGAATCGAGGCAACCGACGAGCCCCAAGTTGGAGGGGTCAGAACAGAGCGAAACTGCAGACAAACCATCTAACCAGCATGGGCCCCGCCAGCCCTGGTCCCTGAGCAGCTGTTCTGCCATGTATCCCTGTGGCTTTCCAGGGTCCCCCACACTGATGGCAGGGCCAGTAGCCAAGCACAGAGGCCACGAGGGCAGAATCCCTGCCATGAGGGCTCGTACTGTGCCGAGGGAGTGAAAGAGACAGAGAAAATAAAACACACTTCTGCGGTGATGGAGCTCCCGGGGTCCAGATAGATTTCCACCAGCAGGGTGGCCCGGCTGGACGCAGGTTGCAAAGGAGCAAGAGCTTTTGGATGGATCCTGGTGTCACTGCACCCCCCTGCTCTCCTTCCAATGCCACCGGTGAGATTGTTGCCTACGCCATGGGAGGAGAACAATCAGTGACCGTCAGAGACAGTCTCAGTCCGGAGCCATAGGCGGCTTGGCCTTGTTCAAAGCGAATCCAGGTGCCAGGAACAGGCTGTAGCAGAGCGTCCTGTTCTGGCCAACTCTGAAGTGGGGCTCTTAGGGAAAGGGGGCTGGTTATAGCCCGCCCGTGCCCTGGAGAAGACCGTACTGGAGAAGTAGCTTACATTTCCTATGCGGCTAGCTGCCTAATTTAGGTGATCGCCTGGGGGTCTGGTCCACTGGAGGTTGCAGAGGGCAATACGCTCCAACGTAGAAACAGAATGCTTAAGGTCTGACATCGTCTATCAGCGTCACAGCCCTACAGCCACCCCCGAGAGCCTCGGAGCAAGCCATTTTGCCAAGCAAGCCTAGACTGAAACGGATCAACTTGGCTGGGACCCTTTAAAACTTAAACCCAGCATTGAACAGTACTATCAACCCCCAGCGTTCCGAGAGCCCCAGCCAGGCCTCCCGGCCGTACTCTGGTTAACTCGTTAAAGCTAGCCGTGCGGACGCTACAGGGCGGGCTGCCTCCGCCCTGCGGCATGCTCGCTAGCGAGGGTGCCACCGGCGTGAGTGCGTCCACACAAGATGCCCCTCACCGCCCTGCCCGCTGTGCAGACGCACACTTGGCCTGAATTCATAGGAAGGAGCACACCGAGAAAGGGGCTCTGGAAAGCACTGCAAACAGCTGGTCCAGCCAGAGTCCCAGCCCAACACCTGCAACAGGCCCCGTGAGGGGCAGTCAGTGCTCTCATCCCGAAGTGCCCCGGGGCCAGCAGAGCTTTGGCAACAAGGGCAGGGTCATTTTTTTTAAAAAAATAATCAGCACCACAGTCTCTGGGCATTTGCTGGCGTTGAAATCTAGCCCCGGTGACGAAGAGAAACAGCCTGAAACGCGGCTGGTACTTACAAATATGGCCAGGTTAAACAAGATCATCATCACCTTGAGGAAACTGAAACAGCCCATCTTTGCTCCTGAAAAGAAATCAGAGAGATTAGCGCAGCACCAGGGGTTAGTGCAGTCCTCACCCCCTCGGAGAGAGAAGTTTTAGGGCAGACCAGTGCCTCACACAGCAGTGAGCCCTTTAGCAAGTCCCGGAGGCTGCTCAGTTACCTTCCAGGGGGGCTTTTAAACACTAGGGAAGACCCCAACTTCTCCCCTCTGTGGCAGAGAGAAAGAGGAAGCAGAGGCAAATCAATTTCTCTTTGACTGTTGCTCAAAGAGTCCAAGGGAAGTTTCCCAGCCCAGCTGCAGCGGCCCTCAAGTCTCCACTCCTCTCTCAGAGAAGAGGTGGGGGGTTGTACCCCCAGCCCCACGCCCTTCTCAGGAGGGGCAAAGATCGGAACCTCGCTGGGTTTCTCATGCAAATCAAGGCCCCCACCTGCAGAAGGGAAGGGTCACGCTGGGAATGCAGGGCTCACCTTAGTGATCAGATCCAGAGGGGCCAAAAAATAAAATCCAAAGCAGCCTCGAGAACCCAACCCAGGCGATGCTCCTGTCCCTCTGGGAGCCTGTCCTACCTGACCCAGCCCCAGCCCTCCTTTCCTGGAACCAGGTGCTGTGCCCTGCTTCTTAAGGGAGCCTAAGTGGCAGCTGTCTCCTCCAATCAGAAACTTCCCCCTTCCAGCCCAATCAAATCCCTTAGGGGATGGGCCGCTGCTCACAAACTTTGTTTTTAGTCGGTTGTAGGAGTCGCTGAAGGATTCTCTTGAGTCCTTGCTGGCCCCTAGCGGCTGCAGGGAGATATTGCTTCCTGCTCTGCTCTTTGGGCCCAGATCCCCCAAGGGGTTTTCGGTTTGATCCCTTTCAGTGGCTGGGCCACAGAGCTGGGGTTAGGGGCCTGGTTTTCTGCTGCCCACTGTGATTCCTGAAGCCTCGCTAGCCACGGCGGGACGATGGGAGGTTTGTCGCTTTCCGCCCCCAGCCGTCGTTTGGCTGCAAATGCCTGAGCGTCGCTTTCAAATCGACAGCGGTTTGTGGGGAGGCGGGTGTGAGGCAGACTGCGTGTTGCCGTGCGCCTGCCCGTGAGAGTGTGCGAGGGCGTGTTTGCACGATTGTCTGCAGGAGCTGGCATGGGTCCCCAGGCACGCGTGTCGTGGGTGCAGGGTCATGCGTGTGCTTGCGTATGTAACCCACATGCTGGCACTGCAGTGGTGAAAAGCGGCAGTTCTCAAACTTTAACAACCCGGGGACCCCTATTTTGTTAAAAAAAAATGTCGCGGACCCCCAAGTCCCCCTGCTCAGCCCCAGGGCCTGCTCCCACTCCACCCTCGCCCCTCCTTTTCTATGCCTCTTTCGCTCCCTTCCCCCAAGTGCGCCCCATCCCCAATCCTCCCCCTCCTTCCCAGCGCTTCCTGCATGCCGGGGAACAGCTGTTCCACAGCGTGCAGGAGGCACTGGGAGCGAGGGGGAGGAGTTGATCAGTGGGGCCAGCGGCCCCAGACATGATTCCGCCCCCTCCCTGAGCACACCCCCGTGTCCGCTTCTCCCCCTCTCTCCCAGCGCCTCCTGCATGCTGCTAAACAGCTGTTCCCCGGCATGCAGGTGGCATTGGGAGACAGGGAGAGGAGTTGATCAGAGGGGCCCAAGGACCCCCTGGAATATCCTCGCAGACCCCAGTTTGAGAAACGCTGGTGTAAATTAAAGGAAGAACCTGTAGAGAGGACACACCATTCTTGTTTTGGGGACTCTGGCCCAAATCCTCCAAGGTATTGAGCTGCCTAAATACCATTCATGTTCTGGGCCTGTGTGTCTTCAGGCTGGCAGGAGCGGTCAGGGTAGCTCTGCTGGATTCAGAGATCGTAGAGTCCAAGGTCAGAAGGGACCGTTGTGATCATCTAGTCTGACCTCCTGTATGGCACAGGCTAGAGAACTGCCCCCAAATAACTCCCAGAGCAGAGCTTTTAGAGAACCATCCAATCTTGATTGAAAACATTGTCAGTGATGGAGAATCCACCACAACCCTGGCTAAATTGTTCCAATGGCTAATTACTCTCTCCCCTAAAAATTTACACCATATTTTCCAGTCTGAATTTGTCTCGCTTCAGCTTTCAGTTTCAGGATTGTGGATGGGCCAGGGTTATCCAGAAACTGGGGGTGGGGGGAGGCACTAGCCGTACTAATTAGCTACTTGGCTGATTTCTGTTGTGGGCAAGCAGGTTGGCAGGACGCACCCAGAGTCACTCCTGGAGAGTGGCGCCCATGGGAACCCAAGTTTATAAATAGGAATGGGAGCCAGACGAGACAATTCAGCCACGGAGCAGGGCGAGCCCCAGATGGCTCTGCCGTGCGGGCCGTGTTCCTGGGACTTTGCCAGCTTGTTGGCTCTAGCCTGCCGGTTCCCTCAGCCCACTAGCAAAGAGGCCTGGAATTGCTGCAGCCTATGCACATTGCAGATTGTCATGATGCATCCGATGAAGTGAGCTGTAGCTCACGAAAGCTTATGCTCAAATAAATTGGTTAGTCTCTAAGGTGCCACAAGTCCTCCTTTTCTCATTGCCAGGGGAGTTTGCAGGAGACTGTGGGATTATTGCATTGATGTGCCCTGCAGAGGGGGCTGTTACCAGCTTTGCCCGTTACTTTGGGGTACGCTCATTTATTAGGGTTACTCTTTGGGGCGGGGGCATGTCTGTAATTCTATCAACGGACTGCTTGTGTCAGTTGTGTTCTCACAGGGAGCTCTACTTCTCCCTGCTGCAAGTCCCCTCCCAGTGGTGCTCTCCTGCAGGACCTAGGTTCCCCAGGGCTGGGTTTGTCCAGCCCCAGAGTAAGATGAACACACACACACATTCTAATAGAGCACGTCTGAGCGGACCGGGTCAATCAGCACTCCCAAGCTGACCCCTTATATGCCCCTGGTCTCAGCAGGCTGGTCGAGCAGCGCTTCCAATCTGCCACCCTCCTATGCCCCAGGTTCAGCCAGTCCCTATCCCCACTTTCACGTAACAATTGTTCTGGTCGTAACCCACATGATGAGCGAACCCCACAAAATTTTTGGGTGCTGCAGGGATCTCTAGCTTAGGTATGAGGAGCGTTGCTGCAGAGCGAATAGGGAAGCCAATAAACACCCATGATGGGGAGAGAGACGGAGAAGCAACCAGCTTAACCAGGAAAGTTATTTATTGCCGGATAATAACCATAGGGGAGCCAAACAAACAAACCAGTTACAATATTAAATCTAACTTAAATTTGAGTATAAAAGGTTTAGAAAACTATAACTGATCGTAGAAGTCAGGGTCAGAAGGCTATACCGAGAGAGAGAGAGCTGGGTCCTCACCACTCCGTGAAGTGGGTCCTGGGTCCGGTTCTGTTCAATATCTTCATCAATGATTTAGATAATGGCATACGGAGTACACACTTATCAAGTTTGTGGATGATACCAAGCTGGGAGGGGTTGCAAGTGCTTTGGAGGATAGTATTAAAATTCAAAACGGTCTGGACAAACTGGAGAAATGATGCAAAGTAAATAGGATGAAATTCAATAAGGACAAATGCCAAGTACTCCACTTAGGAAGGAACAATCAGTTACACACATACAAAATGGGAAATGACTCCCTAGGAAGGAGGACTGCGGAAAGGGATCTGGGGGTCATAGTGAACCACAAGCTAAATATGAGTCAACAGTGTAACACTGTTGCAAAAAAAGCAAACATCATTCTGGGATGTATTAGCAGGAGTATTGTAAGCAAGACATGAGAAGTAATTCTTCCACTCTATTCTGCCCTGATTAGTCCTCAGCTGAAGTATTGGGTCCAGTTCTGGGCGCCACATTTCAGGAAAGATGTGGACAAACTGGAGAAAGTCCAGAGAAGAGCGACAAAAATGATTAAAGGTCTAGAAAACATGACCTCTGAGGGAAGATTGAAAAAATTGGGTTTGTTTAGTCTGGAGAAGATAAGACTGAGAGGGGACATGAGAACAGTTTTCAAGTACATAAAAAGGTTGTTACAAGGAGGAGGGAGAAAAATTGTTGTTCTTAACCTCTGAGGACAGGACAAGAAGTAGTGGGCTTAAATTGCAGCGAGGGCGGTTTAGGTTGGACATTAGGAAAAACTTCCTAACTGTCAGAGTGGTTAAGCACTGGAATAAATTGTCTAGGGAGGTTGGGGAATCTCCATCATTGGGAATTTTTAAAAGCAGGTTAGACAAACACCTGTCAGGGATGGTCTAGACAATACTTAGTCCTGCCATGAGGCAGGGGACTAGACTAGATGACCTCTCGAGGTCCCTTCCAGTTCTATGATTCTATGAACCTTGAATCGATCGGGTTCCCAGGTGGTGGTGATGGTAGCTGAGGGTCTGGAGTGCTGGAGTCAGGCAAAGCCCCCAGCACGATCAGTCAGGAGAAGATGAAGTCCGAATGGAACTGATGCAGATCTTGGATCCAGGCATCAGAGCACTTACTTGAGCGTGGGTAGGGGTTTTTGTAGGGAAAGAACAATGGTTCAAGGGAGAACACTAGATTTGTTTATGGGTAAATTGATGGCTCAAGGGAGGATCCCACCGTTGTTTTGTTCAGGCTAGACAATAGGAACTGCTCATTCCTGGCTATGGGCGGTGTTCCTTCCAGGGAGCTCACAGTGCAATTAGGCAGCTTCAGTATTTTTGATTCTTTTATTCTTTTGAATAAAGGATTCATTACTAGAATTAGTGTGATAACTACTGAGCTGGGTGTGTGCAGGCGTGGGTTCATTAACACCTGGAGCTGAGATCACGCCCTGCTTCCCTGCTTTTCTGGTTGCCTTGGAATCTCTGTTCTCCATTCTGTATGCTAATGGGGATGCCTCCCTGTCCCATCTTCGATGCAAATGAGGCTAGGGGAGTTTCCTTAATCCTGTCACCCTTGTCCAGAGGGGTTTAGGTCTCTCCCATGGCCTTTTCATTGCTTTTTGTAAGTCTTTCTTCTGATCGGCTTTGGTTCAAGCAGAGGCGGGGGGGAGGGCTTTCGTGAGTCAGACAGGCTGGGTACTGCGCCCGGGTTCCCCAAGAACACAGAGCTGATGGGGAACAGGGTGGACGCCATTCCACACATGGAGCAGGGGCAGTTGCCCCAGAGAGGAGCCCCAGGGGAGCATACATGCATGAGCAGAATTTATATGTCACATTTGAACTTGTGACAGGAACAAGAACTAAAACGTGGGCGCTCCCCTCCTCCCTGAAGCTGTTGTCTTTTCACAGCTATTATTGACAATATTCAGCTAACCTCAGCTCCTGGGAGACAGTCCCAGGTCTCCCAAATCCTGGACTAGGGAGGATGGGGAGGAGATTTGGGAAGATCCCAGCTGGCCGTTCCCTCTCCCACCAAAAGGACTTAAAATTCTTTTGTACTTTAAAAATTGCCTTCTGGTGGTAAAAGTGCTACCTGAATTGTACCACCAGGTGGTGCTCTGGTACTACGTTCGAGGGCTTGGGGGTCCCATAGGTCACAGATAGGGGGGACTGGGCCAGATCATTACAGCCCAGAGGTCGCTGCAGGGGAACCATGGCAGGGAATTACCAACAGGAGAGTGGGTTTGGGGTTGGGGAGGGGGAGAAAACCTGGATTTGTGCTGGAAATGGCCCAACTTGATTATCATACACATTGTAAGGAGAGTGATCACTTTAGATAAGCTATTACCAGCAGGAGAGTGGGGTGGGGGGAGAGAAAACCTTTTGTAGTGGTAAACACCCATTTTTTCATGGTTTGTGTGTATAAAAAGATCTTCTGTACTTTCCACGGTATGCATCCGATGAAGTGAGCTGTAGCTCACGAAAGTTCATGCTCAAATAAATTGGTTAGTCTCTAAGGTGCCACAAGTCCTCCTTTTCTTTCTGCGAATACAGACCAACACGGCTGTTACTCTGAAACATGGCAGGGAAAATAGCCCAGGCCCCTGTGGTTGAGAGCCCTTCTCAGGCAGGGAGCTGGAGCCAGCCATGGGATTAAGCCCATATCCACCCAGCAGACTCTGAGCTGATGGAATGGGGGACATGTGGGGGGAGAGCTGAGCATGCAAAGGACCCAAACCCAAGGGAGTGCTGTAGCCTCCAGGCAGCTTATCACTGCCGATGCTGGCCTATGGCTGCATGTCTTTAATACACAAGAACGAACTGGCTAGGGCACCGCTGGATGGAATCAGAACTGCTTGACTGTGTGTCATGGGCCCTGTATTTCGGATGGAGATTCTCCTTAAGTTCAAGTGATGAGGTCCCATCCTTTTGGAAGAGCCAAAGGGCAGGGAAGGTTCTGCAGGTCTAATTCTAGACCCCCCTGGAAGGCAAGAGGAAAAGCAATGCGTTCAAGCTGTCTGTGTGTCTGTCTGTCAGCTCTAGGGGCAGAGAATTTAGAGAGGTGGAACTCTGCTCCCTCTATAGGGGAGACGGTGAAAAGCCAGCCCAGGCCAGCTTCATTTACATGAATTATAATAAAAAGAAAAGGAGGACTTGTGGCACCTTAGAGACTAACCAATTTATTTGAGCATGAGCTTTCGTGAGCTACAGCTCACTTCATTGGATGCTCACAAAAGCTCATGCTCAAATAAATTTTTAGTCTCTAAGGTGCCACAAGTCCTCCGGTTCTTTTTGCGAATACAGACTAACACGGCTGCTCCTCTGAAACCATGAATTATAAGGTTGCCTACCCATCATTCCACCTGCTCGGTTTTGTTGCTTTAGCTGCAATTTGTTTTGGTGGTCTAAATAATAATCAATTATTCATATACCCCTGCCAGGGCATGGGAATGGTGCCGGGCATGGCCGGGAGGGAGCGGTCACCCTGACTTCCCTGACCCTGGTACCAAACTGCAAGCACAAGAGCAAGAGGAGTGGAAGGGCTGCGTTCTTGAGCACTAGCAGCAAGAGCAGGGGCTCTTTCCAAGGGGCCTGCTTTGTGCTCATTGCTACGATCAGTAAATCTGCAGGGGGGGCAGCGATACAGGTCCCGAGCCCGCTTTGCAGGCTCACCTGGCTAGTTGTGACATTGCAGTGACCTACGTGGCAGGGCTGAGCTGACCTCCGAGCACCCTGACCAAGGAGGCTGGTAGAAGCAGAGCAGGCATCCCCGAATGGGAGCCCCACGTGGGAGCAGGGCCAGGCAGGGCTGTCCCCTCCCGTCCAGAGGAAACCCACAGAGGAGAACTATCGAATGGGACAGGACCCCATGGCTGGGGTTTACCTTGGGACTCCCCATTGGTCATTTTCAGTGAGCCATTCATGAGGGGCTCATCCAGGATGGCTGGTTGGAGCTGCCTGGCCTGCCAGTTGAGGTTTGGTGTAACCGCCCCCTGGCTGGTTTGGATCCAGCTCTGAACCCTGGGAAGGTTGGGTACTTGGGTTTCCATTGGATCCTTTCCTTGAGGGGATGTTTGCACCCATTTACAGACCATATCCTTGGGGGTCTCTGCGCAGCGCTTGCCCCAGATCCGGTCTCCGGGGACCTGCCCTTGCTCTGCTGGGTCTATAGCATCCTGGTGTCCAAGGGAATTGCTCGGCTTCTGCCAGGGGGAGAATAGGACCCCTGGATTTATCTCGAGCGTCTAATCTCTTCTTGCTGGTTGGACTTAACCTCATGGGGCATGTTGGTGTCACCCCGGTGTGTTAGCAGCAGAGACTCTTCAACATCTCCCAGGGATTGTCAGCGGGTTACTGCTTGGGATATAAATCCAGAGCCGCTGCACTGACAGGCTCGAGCCAGGAGAAACAGGTGCCGCGAGTCCTAGGTTATAAGGCCTAGAAAGGGACCACTGTGCAGTCCATCCTCCTGTGTAATGGGACCATGGGACTTCCCTGAACGAGTTCCTGTTTGAACTAGACAAATAGCTTGGGTCTTAAAAGGTGATTTATAGTGCCTGTGCGTTCGCGGCTGGAGTTGCAATCAGAGGCCGACCCTGAGGACTCTCTAGAGGAAGGAGCAGGAGGCGGTGGCCTGGTGGAGCAGGCACTGATCGTGTTTGCAGATGGTGGCAGCGGTGGGTGTGTTGCAGACTCACAGAGGATAGTGGGAGACTAGACCTGGGGCAGGGAGACTCAAATAATCAAATCAAATTCATTGAATTAAAAATAATAATGGGATCGAATCTAATGGGGAAATGCCAAACGACCTATCCAGGGGCGGGGGAGACTGTACCATCTTGGAGTCGCCAGGACGACTGGGGCACTCGGACAGCCAATCCCAATTCATTTCTAGGGGAACTGTGCACTCAAATGCCCCAAATAGCCCCACCAGGCGTGGCCAGGCTCTCAGGCGCTACTGCTATAGTAATATTGCATTGCAATTATGGCCTCGTAGGCCAAGCCTGGGTGATGCTACGCCCTGTACAAACACAGAACAAAAAGAGAGTCCCTGCCCCCAAGATCTCCCAATAAGTCATTCATGGTTGAGATGCAGAAGCATCTTGCTAGTTTTAAGACTTTTAGCCTTGCAAGAAAGCTCCCACCGGGGGGCCAGCATAACCCTAAACGTGCCAGCAGGTCTTACTTCATCCAGCAGCCGGCAGGGACTCCCAGCCCCACGGGCCAGGGTCCTACTGTGCTTTTTATTCGGTAGCCCGCTGGCATGTCCGTGGCCTGCCGACATCCTGGGATCGCACCATCCTGGGGGTGACCAAGGAAGGCCAGGCCTGGGAAAAGAAGGGTACATTTATTCAAGATGGAGGGCAGCGGGAGAAATCCCCCATCAGAGTAAAAATGTCCCCATGCCTGCCTTTCATGCTCCGGCTGTGTGTCTTTTCCGCCTCTCTTTACTGTGGCCGGCAGAGCTCCTGACGTGGTTTCCTGAGCTTTGACACAAACCCAACTCCACGCGGGCTGGCGGTGCACGGATCTGCTGAGAGAAGCTGCGTCGATCAGGAACGAACCCACCAGCGCTCAGATAGGCCAAGACAAGCTGAGCCTTTCCAGGTAGGACACTCAACCAGTTAAAGAAAGGCATCTTTGGGGCTATCGCTTGAGCCGTATGTGAGCTAGGCTCGGGGTTTTTTCCGCATTGTTTGCTCTGGCTGCACGGCTGCGAGTGGGAATGGGATGGCTGTCGATCCGGTTTGGCAGTCTCGCAATGAATCCTGTTGTAACGGCCTCCCATTCTCCCCCAGCACCGGGGCACAGAATGGGGGCTTAGGGGACAATGCTGAGGAATGACCTTCGGGGCTCATTCCTGGGCCGCTGGTGGCAGGGGCACCGGAATGGGGGCTCAGGGGACCATGCTCCCCCCCCACTTTTTACCAGACAGAAGGGTGAGTGATGTGGGGGAGGGAGCAGTGAGGAGCAAGTGCGGACAGGGTGTTGGGGGAAGAGGCGGTGTGAGGCCGGGGCTTCAGAGGAAGGGACGGTGCGAGGGCGGGGCTTGGGGAGAGGATGCGGTGGGGGGAACTCGGGGGGGTGTGCGATGCAGGCGGCGAGGCCAGGGTTTAGGTGCCTGTGGGCCCCCCCCACACTTTTAGGGTGCTTCCACACTGGTTTGCCAGCTGCGGCCACGCGATCGCATCACCGTTGTCATTAGAGAGGAAGGGTGGTCTTGTAGGTGAGGCACCGGATTGGGCCTGAAAAGATCTAGGTTGCGTTGCCAGATTTTTTGTCCAACAGGGCAGATTTGCACTGGGGGAAGTGGTGCAATACAGACAATAAATGTATATTAACATGCAAACCCCTGGACAGATCCCATTCTTTGCAGGGGTGAGCAGCTACAAACCTCACGGGGCAGGGGCCAGGCACGTGGCTTAAGAGGATGAGGGTGTGGTAGGAACCTCGAGGCTGGTAGAAACAGCAGGGTTTCCCTGCTGAGCGATGCAATCTCAGCTCTGGTACATGAACAACCCGGTGGATTCAGACCCACTTCTTCTCCGAGGGGAGACTCACTGACCCCGTGAGCTCCCAGGATGCCCTGCTGGTTGCAGCCAGGATACTGATGCGCTGATGGGCACCCCAGCTACCAGTGGTACACAAGGACCGGTGCCCTGGCCCATGAGCATCATTGACCTCACAGATCATTCATGTGCTTTGATTCAGTCCTTGATCCGCCCCTACGCCCCCCGTTTGAGGGAGGGTCTGTTGTCCCTGCTGTCCAGGTGGGGAAACTGAGCTGCAGAGCAGGGATAGACCCTTTGCAACTCGGCTGAGGTCTTAAAACCACCCTTTAAAAACCCAATCTTTGCTATTTTCTAAGCAAAGCCCCACCCCCAGCATCCCTCCTGCCTGCAAGCTGGGGAGTGCTGCCCTCCCCGCAAGCCCTAGGTAGGGTTGCCAGATGTCTGGTTTTTGATCGGAACGCCCCGTCAAAAAGGGATCCTGGCGGCTCCAGTCAGCACCAGACTGGGCCATTAAAAGTCCGGTTGGTGCGGAGCTGGCAGGCTCCCTACCTGGCTCCACGCGGCTCCCCATAAGCGGCGTCATGTCCCTCGGCCAATGGGAGCAGTGGGGGCGGTGCCTGCAGGCGGAGGCAGCATGCAGAGTTGCCTGGCCGTGCATCCACCTTGGAGCCAAGGGACACGTTGCCGCTTCTGGGGAGCCGCCCAAGGTGAGCTCTGCCCAGAGCCTGCATCCTAAAACTCCTCCCTCATCCCAACTCCCTGCCTCAGCCCAGAGCCCTCCTGCACCCCACACCCCTCATCGCCGGCCCCACCCCAGAGCCCACACCCTCAGCTGATGGCCACATCCAGTCTCACACCCCAATCCCCTGCCCCAGCTTGGTTGAAAATGCGTGAGTGAAGATGTAAACAGGACCTGAATGAATGCTTCCCTGACAGCTAGCTGGGAGGGGAAGAAACTATAGGTGTGTTTATGTAAATACAGTTTGCTCCTGCTCTGTTTACATATTCATCATTTACAGCTGTCTCAAAGGATCAACTTTGGCTGGTGTTAGGTGCAAATGATCTTAGTGCTGAATGCAGGGGTAGTGAAATATGGTTACCAATGTTGTAATTATTGTAGGAATACAGGAAAGCATGACTGATTAACCTGTACCAAATGAGGGGGGGGCACCCTCAGCTGAAAGAACCTCCTTAAGCAGTGGTTCAAATGTCAGCACCCTGTGAAAGTAAGTGGTGTGGGGACAGTAGTTCTGGTGTCCTGGTCCCATGGCGTCCTCTCTTGACTAGCTTAACCTGTTCTTCCCCACTCTTCAAAGAAGAGAGCTAAATAGGCTTTGTTAAGAGCTTCTTTTGTTATTTTAAAGGTTCAATCAGAGCTGAAACCAGCTGTGGTGGGACTGTGTTTTTGCCCTGACTGCTTAGAGCTTAAAATCACGGGACAGCTAAAGTCACTTGAGATGGGGCAGTGTTTCTGCCCAGCCTGCACAAGAGCTGAAAATCACGGAGAGACGGATGTGCAGAGGTCACAGAAGAGAGACAGAAGGTGACTGACAGCCAGCAGGGCGGCGGCGGAGAGACACGACAAGCAGCCAGCAGGGTGGCTGGTGGAAGGGTGCCGTGAGCAGGCACCCGGTTAGCCGTGGAGTGAATAAGGTGCCTCTTTACTCGCCACCCAGAGGGGGAAGTGAACTCTGCAGATGCACCTCTGAACTCTGGGTCGGCTCTGACCAAGGATAGCAACTGTGAGTGGGGTGCAGAGAAGGGTCGGGCAGGTGAAAGGGACTTTTGGGTTGCTGGACTTAAGAACCTTAAGAGGGGAAAAGGACACGGCCCAACCTACCTGAGGGTGGGTCTTTTACTCATGGTTTATGTTTATAAACCCTGTTTGTGGTGTTTTCCCAAATTAATGCCAAGTTACTTCCCTCCTTTTATTAAAAGTTTTTTTCTACACTCCGACTCGGTGCTTGCAAGTAGGGCAGTATTGCCTCTCGCAGGCGCCCAGGAGTGGTGTGTAATTTTCCCAGGTTACTGGGTGGGGGCCCGAGCCAGTTCTGTGTTGCATCGATGGAAAGGCATCCCCAGATATTGAACCCGGCCCCGGTTGCTGCTGGCTCCACCTGGCAGAAGGGTTACATGTGAGGGTGGGGGAAAATGAGCGACAGGGGGAGGGGGGATGGAGTAAGTGGAGGGGCGGAGTCTCAGAAGGGGCAGGCAGGGGGTGGAGTCTCAGTGAAAGGGGCGGGGCAAGAGTGTTTGGTTTTGTACAATTAAAAAGTTGGCAGCCCTAGCTAGACTGACTCCCTCTCCGCTCCTAGCAATGGGACTAGGGAGGAGATGCTGCTGCCAACCTAGTCCCTGCTCTTGCTGGGTCACAGGGCCCCTGCAGTACCCCCAGTGCAAGGTCACACCTCTGCTCCGGGTTTCCTCGCAGCAAGGACTCTAGCCCCAGATCTAACTGCTAAACCGGGCAGATTAAATCTGACCCAGCGATCCCGGGGGGTGGGCAGGCGGTGGGGCTGGAGTCTGAACACTGCCGCGGTGCTGTCCCCTCCCCGTACACACCTGGCGCGTGCTGTGTTGGGCCAAGTCAACCCATGCTGAGCCCGGGTCACTCCTGGGCATGGGTCGCCTGGCTGGTAAACCAAGCGTGCTCCTAGATTTGTGAGCGTGGCTCTTTAAAGGCAGCTGGCCCCCCGGATCTGTAGGGCCCCAGGATCCCAGCATTGCCTGGTGCTGCCGAACTGAGCCATCGGGAAAGGAATTAGCTGCTCCCCCGCAGCAGCTGGCTCTCTCTCCAAGGAGCTGGATTCCTTGGCCAGGAGGGAGAGGAGAAAGACAATACACTTAGCCCAGCCAAGCCTTCTGGAGAGGACACTGTGTCCTGTGGTTAAAATACCGTATATTCTCGCGTATGAGACGCAGCCAAAATTTCCCGATTGTTCTCTGAAAATGGGAGGCACGTGCTCGGATCCGCCTAGTGGGTCAATGACCGTAATTAACCTGCTGCTGCAAATGGTGGGAGAGACAAGGAGGTACAGCAGGGCTGGGGGAGCTCAGAAAAGCCTTAGGATGCTGCAGGGAGCTGAGCTGAGGACACGTTTGGGGCATGAGGTCCTATAATTAGGTCACTATTCAACATCACTGAATGACCTGGTTGGTTTATAGGCAAGACTACGGGGTATGCTAGCCATAGGTCTCTTGGGACCCAAGGGCAAGGAATCGCCAATGTCCTGGCAGTTGGGTTTCTATGATAGGATGATGAATGAGCAGGGGAAAACTTAAAAGAGCCGTGTGAGTCCGGCTGGGCAGTGGAGAAAGGGGAGTTTCCCGTCGTGTTTCTTCTCTGACGGGGCTTAAATACACACCTGAGCTGACCGCTTTGCAAAGGAGGCAAGCTCATTAAAGGCCAGCACAGACTGGTCCCGGCCCCAGCCTTTCTGATGGGCAGCCCCAAACAGCTGGGCTACCTCCCTGTAGGGTTAGCTAAGCCAGCTGCAAGCAGATGTATTTCTGAAGTGCTTACTCCCCTTACTCCCTGAAAGATAAATTAGTGCATGCAGCTAAAGAAGCATTTTCTATATGGGGGAAGCTGGGCTCATGGCGGCATGAACCGGAGCAACCCAGAATGCCTCTGAATTGTCTGGGGGAAAAAATCCTGCCAGCTGGGTCTGTCGATCCACTCCACCCCACCTGCTAATTAGATTTGCAGGAGGCAACCACTAACGAGCTGAAACCGTCTGCTAGTAATCAGAGGCCGGGAAGATGTTAGGTTACATGTATAGAGGCTGGATGGATTGATGTAGTCGAGACCTGTGGTGAAAGCTGCTCCTGCCAGGGAGCTGCCAGTCCGGCATGGGCACAAACGGGGTTCCCCTCCCTGCTGGCCGGTTGGGCCTGCTGTGGGGATTGATCAGTAGTATAGCCCATTGCTTGACGGCACTTCAGTTCATTTTGAAATGTAGACAAGAGACCAAATAACCGGTATCAGGCGGGTTTATTACTCTGAGCCATTCACAATACAGGTTCAATGTACCGGTCTCCAGGAAGCCGTCTCGTGCGAGCGTTGTTATGTTCACCTTATGCAGAAGGTGTGCTCCCAAAGGTACACCCCTACCGCTGCCTTTTCAGACCCGACTTGTTTGGAGTGAAAGGTACCATGGACATCATCTGAAACGAGATTTAACCAAGCCACTTTCAACCTTGTTTTTCTGGTACAGGATGGACCCCGTTCTCTCTTTGTTCTGAGCACATCCGTTCCAGGTGCCAAAGGGCATGAAGGCACCTCTGAGCTCTGTAGCAGGGTAGAACATTAATATATCTTGTCCTTTTCCTTTGGGACATTCCAGTATTAGCCTGAGAATAACTCCCAGCTGTTGCTATGGTAAAACACTTATATGTCCTGATCCTGACAGTTTTCCTATTTGCTTAAGCCAAACTTATTTCAGCTAATGCCAGGGGTTATCAGATACTTGATGTGAGCGGACAGAATTGTGGGAAAAGAATAATACATTCAGCGAACATAACTTCCCAGTGCTTGTATTAATACTATGCCTAACGTGTGTGTTGGCTAACAGTCGGATTCTCGATGCGCTGGGCCTTTAAAGGGAGGTGGCCCCCTGCCATCCTGTGCTCAGGTGTCTCCTGGTCCACAGAGGGGACGCCCACACCGTGCTCTCTCTCAGGGAAACCTTAGCTTTGTTGTTCCTGCCATACAATCTACAGGCCATTCCCACTGAGAGTCGGTTGTGGCTCTCTGTGTAGGGGGGAAAACTTCACCCACAATAGAGTGATAGTCACAAGAATCTTGCCCTCCTGAACAAGGGATTCCTCAGTGTCCTATAGTGCAAAGGGGCCACCAAGCTAGAATAGCTTGTACCAAGTGACCATAAAGCAAGCTGCAATATCCAGTTATTATAATTATTGTGGTAGCAGCTAATAATGCCTCACACTGTCTTAGCGGTTAGAGCACTGGATTGGGACAATCTGAATTCACTTCCTGGCTCTGCCACTAGCCTGCCTTGGGCAACTCACGTCACGCTCTGGGCCTCAGTTTCCCCATCTGTAAAATGGAGATAATGATACTGACATCCTCTGAGAAGTGCTTTGAGATCTACTGATGAAAAGGCTATAGAAGAATATATTGTGCTGGGTGCTGTGCAAACACATTACAAAGCCAGGCCCCACCCCCAAAGAGTTTAGTCTACAGGCTTCTCTACAGGGCGACAATCAGGAAAATCAATCCGAATTAACGAAAGGTATGAATTTAAAGTGGAATTCCCTTTGCCAGTGAATTCAGCTAAACCAAATTAAGGTCACTTGAATTCTGGCATCTGCACAGGGGTTGAATGCAGTTGAACTAATCCGCTATAAAAGTTCATTTGGATTAATTTTCAGGTGAGGGACAATGGGCAAACAGAGCTCAAGGTAACAGCAATGCTGTTGAGTGTAATAAGCAACACGCCAGCTGCTGATCCATTGTTAAATGGCAACTTCTTCTCTGAAATCTTTGTATTTATACAGTAGCTATACACCTGGGCTTAACAGAATCCACCCGGACTGTAAGGGGATGAATTTAAATCAGCACATGGGGGAGAGACATAAATTAGAGTCCCTGCTGGCAAGGAAGTGCTGGCAGTTGAGAATTATGAGGCTTCCAGGTAATGATGATAACCTAATACCAGCATCTTCCCTGGCAGTCTGGAAAATGAGAAAGGAAGAAGCAGGCGCTGTGGAGGTCATTTCTTCATGAGCTCCCTCTCCTCACTCAAATTTAAGGCAGCGGACCCAGTTGTTGCTGATCCAGTTCTAGCATGGCTTGCCTTAGCAGCATGATCGGGAGTCCCATGCTAGCCAGAGAGTGCTATATCTGTACACATAGGGGTGTCTACAACAGACACCCCCCCAAAAATTCCCTCCTGCTCTATGGAATCACAGTTTGTCTTAAACAGGAGGCATTTATTAAAGAAAACAGCAACAACCTCAGACACAAATAGGCTTCTACGCAGCTTGAGCTCCAGCTCTGTCTCCCTTGTTTACCAATATCCATTTCTGTCTGGAAATCAAGACAGCACACTGGGCTGAATGTTATACTGCAAGTAAATATAATTACGGCTTCACTGGTGGGAGCGCTACTATAGACAAGCCAGCTTGTTCTTAGCCTCAGTGATCCCACCAATCTTGCTAGCAACGACAGTGTCTAAACTAGAACTGGGGTCTGAGCCAATCCTGATCCAGAGTTGGGGCATGTTTCCGGGATCCAGGTATCTTTTTGGCCCATTAGAAATAGGGTGTGACATGGTGCAGGGGATCTTGTCTTGTGAATAGGGAGTTAGCCCCAGCCCAGTTACCTCATCCCCTTGCAAAGGTGCTCAGGGGCTGGGCTATAATGGTGCCCGCTTCGGGGACCGATGGGGACAGGTGTCTGTGGGAAGGCTGGGCTGTGTATCCAAGACCGGGTTGAACCCCAAATTTGGGAGCCTTCTCCATTTACTCTGACTGTGTCAACTTATTTTATGTTCTGGTTATTTAATTGTAAGCCCAAGGCAGGGGCTGTATATAAGTTGACCACTCATCCTGAATTGGGCAGGAGAGTCCCAAAATGCAGAGTTCAAGTCCCGGTCCTGGGCTGAATGACTCCGGGACAGCATTTGTCCTGGATTCCCTGTGGCACTGCACCACACCTGCCTGAGGCTCAGGAGTGCTGCCAGCCTCTTCCCGGATTGGGGGGGGAATTGAGGTGGGCCTTAGCCCGCCCCCCTTGCTATGAGGCCCATCTCTTTCCCCTCAAGACCCCACTCATGGCCTGGCCAGAGCCAGGCCTTGCTAAGAGCTGTCCAAGGAGCCCAGGCCACTGTGGGGAGCCCCAGACCCTCCTGCCCTGGGCGGCATGTTCCGGGGGACAGGGAC